TGAATTACATTTTAAGCCAAACTGTCCTAAACGCCTAAGTTGAGCCCTTTATGTTATTATATGTCCACGACATGTTTCATCATCGACTCAAGGCTGGCATACTTCACGCGCTCATGCCCACGCGCCTGTGCCAGTATGTTAGTGTTACCTGCCAGGTTACAGCGCCCACTGTGATACCCATCTGATAAGATCCTCCTCTCCCATCGCACTTTTACTGCCTTTTAATTGAACGGCTATACGTGCATTTCTATGCAAAACAATTGTATATATAAATAAAATATACATCTTAATTTAGGAGCGCGTGTTTACGCATTCTGTAGCTATATTCAAGTATCTAAGTATGGAATTGATATATTAGAGTAGTGGTGCTTTTCTCTAACAATATATGTAAATGAGAACAACAGTATATAAGCATATTTAAAGATATTGCACATACCTGAGCATAGTAGCAAAACGCAAAGAGGTGAAGGAATCTGCAAGAGAGAAAATCTCACATTAGACTTTAATAACAACAAATAGAACAAATAATAAAGGAAATATACTTACAGATAACTCAGTCGTGATGGAATGACTCTCATGTTGCTGGAATGGAAGGGCCTCACAGAAAGAAAGGGGGAAAAAGTGTGTAATTTGCAGAGATTTAAAAAAGAAAAATCAGGTTTTCCAGTTGAAATGTATAAAGTCCTGCGCTGTTATCCAAACTGTGACTCGCAACATATGATGAACAGATCAACTGGCAAATGACAAAATCTGCTGCTCAGAAGCAGAACAAATGTCCAGGATATTATTTTCAGACTGACACCAGTGACAAGTATAAGCACTAACTGGGTGTCCCTCATAAGAACGAGAACAACACATAAGTGCACTTAACGCAAAACTCACAGCATGTAAACGGTTTACTTTTCAAGTTTTAGCGAAAGAGCTTCTGATGCACCTAATCATACAGACTCGAGTCCCGTGCTCCATGAAGGTGAGGAGCGCAGCAGAAATAGATCCAGTCTGACTCCTGCGTGAATGTCAGTCAGAGGAGGCAGAACTGTGCATCTGATGAGCTTTCTTCAAGAAGCAGTGCTGCTGGACTCTCTTATCCCCTCCTCTTCTTCCATTGCCAGTCAGTCTCCAATGTCAACCCCGCTCGCGCTGACACCCCTGGTTCAAATGGTAGGGTTGGTCCTGGAGGAACAAGCCCCCTTTTCAATAGAACAAAAGCAGGGGGGGG